GGAGGGGGAGAGAAAGAGAAAGGGGGGGGTGAGAAAGGAGAGGGGGTGAGAGAAATTAGGAGGGAGGGAGAGATATTAGGAGGGGGGAAAGAGAAATTAGGGTGGGGAGAGAAATTGAAATTAGGAGGGGGGGAGAGAAATTGAAATTAGGAGGGGGGAAGAGATATTAGGAGGGGGGAAAGAGAAATTAGGGGGGGAGAGAAATTAGGAGGGGGGTGAGAAAGAGAAATTAGGAGGGGGGAGAGAAATTTAAATTAGGAGGGGGGGAAGAGATATTAGGAGGGGGGAAAGAGAAATTAGGGGAAAAGAGAAGTGGGGGAGAAAATTAGGGGGGGAGAGAAATTGAAATTAGGAGGGGGGGGAGAGAAATTGAAATTAGGAGGGGGGAAGAGATATTAGGAGGGGGGAAAGAGAAATTAGGAGGGGGGGTGAGAAAGAGAAATTGGGAGGAGGAGAAGGAAATTGGAGTGGGAGGAGAGATTGACATTCATCACATACACACAATGCACCCCTTGCACACAGAAAAACACACAATGCATTACACACACAGACACACATACACAAGCAATGCAACCGTTACACACAATGCATCCCTTACACACACAGAAACACACAATGCATTCATTACACACACTCAATACACCCCTTACACACATTCAATGCATCCCATACATACACAGAAACACACCTTGCAGCCTTTACACATACAAACACAATTTCACACAATGCATTCCTTACACACATATCAGGACATCCCTTACACACTCCACCCCCTGTGAACAAACTCATTGGTGGAACATGAAGGTGGACCCTGGGACCCCAGACCTTGAGCTGTGTAAAGGACCCCCAAAAAATGGAGCTGCTTCCCGTTCTCCCAGAACATTGATTTTTGTGACCACAGTTACAAACCGCCTCCAGAAAGCCTGTTCTGCACCAGACCAGTGGAGCCAGACTGCAGCTAGAGCCCATCATCATCCCTCATCTGGTTGTAAGTAGGCAATCTAGTATATTATTCGTGGCACTAAGCTCTAATTTACCTCACATTAAAGAAACACTATAGTCCCCAGAACCACTTCAGCTTAATGTAGTGGTTCT